CTCTTCTCAAATGGAAGATTTATACATTTCCACCCTTGATACTTTAAAAAGTGGGGGTCTTCCTGATTTCTGAAATACCATGAAGGTACCTTTCTTCTTGTCTCTGTCTGTACAAAGTATTTATTTTCTTTTAAATGACACTAATCTCTTCAGCAATCACATCTCTTTTGGCCCAAAATTTATATATGGCTCTATCTGTGCTAAGACATGTTTTTCTTCTTTTCTTTTTTCTGCTCTGATTCTCTTTATAAATGGAGCTAAAAGTGGTCAGCAGTACCCATACAACAACCTGAATATTGGGCACCTTTGATATTTTATCAACCAGTTCAATTAGTCCACCACCTTGAATCCCAAACTCTTGTAAAGTTCAGGACACGCGCAAAATGTAGACAAATTTTCTGCCAGAGTATAACACATCAGCTCCAGTCCAGCTACCATTGAAATCCTTGTTCCCAGGTGAAATTTCCTGAGCCTGGCCTTTACTGTCTGAATTTCTATACACATTCTGGTCTTCAAAGCTCTAGTCAGCATCATCTACCATGCTTTGCTGACCACACTATAAGACTTCTCTAGCCCACATCTCCAAATCTTTCCAAATTCCTTCCATAAAATAGTTTCAAAGGCTTCTAAACTATATGATCAGGTATAGTCACCGCAGTGACTTCACTTCTCTGGTGCCAATTTTCTGTTTTCATCAGCTTTACTGTTGCTGAAACACAATACCCAATGTCCATAACTTAAAGGAGAAGGAATTTAATTTAACTCATGTTGCAGAGGAGTCAGTCCACAGTTGACTGGTGCAATTCAGAAGCATCATGGCAGAGGGTTTGGAGGGGCAAAAATATTTAGCTGATGCCAGCTGGGAGGAAGCAGAGAAGGGGAGCTGCACCAGAGAAGGATGACAAGGAATCATATATAGGACTTTAGGTCATGCCTCTATGACCCACACGAACTCATCCAGAAGGATGCTCCACCAACTCCGTGGGTGCGTAACAAGCCAGTATGTTGACACAAACAATTTCTTTTTTGTTTTTTCTCCGATATCGGGAGCCAAACTCACGACCTTGCGCTTGCCAGGCAGGTGCTTTGCCGCTGAGCTAAATCCCCAGCCCCAACACAAACAATCTTAACTATCATCCTTATTGCTATCTTTGTCTTTCCAGAATATATTTTTACAAAGATTATTTTGAGAAGCTTTTGTAGGACATTAGTCAACAAATATTGATTGGGTGTCCTCAAACTCACTTCCCACAGGAAGCTTGCATTATATTAGAGGGAAAATAAAATAAATAAGTTTAAAGATAATATAGTTTTCAAAATTTAAAAGAACTGCAAAGGTAAACAAAAAAGAGCAGGATAGTGAGGAAAAAATGGAGAAATAATTTTTAAGTTGGCTACAGAAGGTGCATGTAGCACTGCTGATTGCACCACAAGAGCAATACCACCTTTTCATTTACTTAAATAATGATAGTTGTTCTCCAAATCAAGTACCCATATGCTTCAGTAAAAGCCAGGCCCATCTTTACCTTGGCAGGTAGAACTTGACTAATTGAGCTGATGGTGGTGGTTCTAGTCTTCTTGTTAGTGACTGCATTAGTGCTGAGAGAAGGAGGCAATTCTGGCATATGGCATTAAAGGTAAAGTTGGTTGGAGAATTCTGGAAAATGGGAGATAAAATGATGCAAGCCATCTAGGTTCCAGAAGTCTTTGAGTCACTTTGTTATATTACCTCAGAGTCATGTTACCTCAAGACTTCTTAATGCTTGAGATAGTACATCCCCTTATTATTTACTCCAGTTCAGTTAGTTTTTCTATTGCTTAGAGACTAAGGCATCTTGATAGAAAGAAGAAGATATGTAAGGACAGATATGTACGACAGGAGTACAAAATAGTTGAATATAGCCTTGTTCCACCTGTTCATTACTGTAATTGTATTCCAGGAAAGTTGTAAGACCAAAACCTGGACTTTTTTCTGTTGTAGGACCCCAGACATTAAGGCAGAAACTTGCATATATCTGTCACATGGAGGAATTCTAGGGTTTATAAAGTTTGAGAGCTGGGATGCTTAATACACTTTTAGCCCCAAAGGGCCTTAGACCAGGGGCTAGACATCTCAGTGTTCTTGGATTGCAGCTAGTTACAGAGTGAGTAGGGGGATCCTGTATCTTGTTTTAAGCAAGGCTTATGAATTGAGACTGACATCAGTCTCCACACAATCATGATGGAATTTGAGAAATCAGTCATCATTCATTAATTATGGGATTGCCTCCTATATGTTATTACTTCTGTCATTTAGAGTTTTGAGGTCCCTTTTATAGGCAAAACACAAAACAAAATAAAACAAAAATTTGTTACACTGAATAGAACCTCAAAAACAATGTTATACAATGCAACCCAACCCTACTGTGCTTTATGAATTAATCAGTCTTAGATTGTTTTTGAATGTATGGAACATGCAATTATCCCATATAACTTCTGAAACACGATAACCTGTCTCATCTCTCTTACACTGTTGTTATGGTTTCTGTCTGGATGTCCCCACAAAGCCTCATGGCATCATGAGGGTCTACCTTATCAGAGGCAACAGAATCTAGAGTTTGTGGTTGATTCATGGTCTAATGCTGGGATTATAGGTGTGAGTACTACACCTGCCCTAGGATAGGTAGCCTGCATACAATATAAAGGATAAAAAGAGGCTCCTGTCCACCTCTTTTTGTATTTGGTATCTTCCACCACCAGGAATGGCTGCCCCTCTGCCACACCATATTGCCTTGGAGCCAGTTGATTAGGGACTGAAACTGCCACACACTGTGAGCTAAATAAATCTTTCCCACTTCCACTTTGGGTGTTGGGTATTTTGTCTCAGCAACTAGAAAAGTAACTAAGACAACTGTTAAACCTCGAGTCTAGGTAGTACATCTACTGAGGTAAGCAGGGCTCTTCAATGTTAAAGGTGACTAGGTTAGCTAGCGGAGCCAGTCTATTTGCTGAAGTCTGACAGCCTAAAGGCAATGATTGCAGACTGGAAAACAACACCTGAGGGAATGTCAGTGGACCCCCGAGAGAGGGAGTAGAGTAGAAGAGAATGCTCTGGTGGGAGCCAAGTAGTAAGTAATCTTCAAAGAGCATAAGAGAAATTTGTAGAAGGGAAGGACTGTGCACATCTCCACATAGTCTTAGATGTGACTGGGGCTAGCAGAAAATATCAGGTAAGACACAAATTAAGGGATGGTACAGAAAGGGTCAAAACAAAGTGTACCACTGAATGGGGGTGGCCTTAGGAATAGAGTGGAGGAAAGACCCTCTCCCTGCAATGCAATCCATGAAAATTGAGCATAGGTAGATAGAAGGGGTGGGAGACCAGTCTGGGAAAGCTTTGTAGGATCACGAAGTAATTTTCTCCCTTTTCTAACCATACCATGTTGGACTCACCATACCTCCCCTTCCCCATGGACCCATCCAGATGGTGTTCCCTAATGTCATAGTCTCTCTGTCCACTCAGGGCTACCATTGGCTGGTGCCTTGCTGAGCAAGGAAAGCCCAAAGGCATGGCAACCTTAGGGGCAGGTATATGAAGGGAGATCAGGCCCACCTGGAGCAGACTACTGGGAGGAGCTCTGCTAGGAAGCATGGCGAGATATCCACCTAGGAACTGGGGATGGCGTAGAGCTACTGAAAACAGGGAACCAAGAACACCCCTGAGAAGGAAGAGAAGGGCGATCTCAGCCCCTAAATTTCAGGACAAGGTGAGTAGATCATCCTAGCTCCTCCCCTTGTTCCCTTGACAACCCTCCTAAGGCCCTTAAGGTCCTCAGACTGTAGCCCTTCTCATGAAGCCCCTGTTCCCATCATTCCCCCTGCCAAACCAGTGCTTTTCTGTGATCTCCCTGTGTCCTTCCAGGTAACCCGGAAATCAACCAGGGACAAGAGAGCCCGGACATTGAAGAAAATTACTCCTCCGATGGTCCCACTCGAGCTGGTGACCCGAAGAGAGGGGAAGCAGCAGCGGGTTTTGCCCCGTGGTGCCAAAAGCATGAGAAAACGCGGGGAGGTGCGCCAGAGCAGAAGCGTGTCCATGGAGGCACATGGAGGTCGCCAGAGAGCCCCCCACATTCCCCTCCCAAAATTAGAGTCCAAGAGAGGCCAGAAGCGAGACCTAGCCAAGCAGGGCCGGAAGAGGGCCTGACAAGACCAGGGACCCTCAGGCTCAGAGAGGAAAATCCCAGAGTCTCAGGGCCTAAGAGGCCACAAGCCGCCCTACAATCTGCAACATGGTTCACAGTCTGGGCGCCACAGTTGAGGGGCTTATGTAGTCGCAAAATCTTACACCAACACTTTCAAGTGATGGTGCAATAACACCTACATCTGCGAATCTATGAATGTGTCTGTGTGCTCTCTGGGGGCTGGGAGGAAGAGAGGAAAGACGGAGGGGAACAGCAGGAGGGGGTGAGAAGGGAGGCAAGAGGGATCCTCATGCCACTGATGGAAACTGGAGGAAAGAAAATGGAGGGAAGCTTGGAAGAATGGGTGGAGGAAGGAGGGAAAGAAAGAGGGAAGGAAGGAAGGAAGAATGGAAGGAAGGAAGGAAGGAAGGAAGGAAGGAAGGAAGGAGAAGGAGAAGGAGGGAGGAAGGAGGAGGGGTCCTTCTATCACTGATGGAAATTTGAGGAAGGAAAAGAAAGGGAAGCTAGGAGGGTAGGGAGGAAGGGAGGGAGGAAGGAACAGAGCGAGGGAGGGAGGGAGGATGAAAGGAAGGAAGGAGGGAAAGAAGGAAGAAAGGAAGGAACGAAGGAAGAGGGGTCCTTCTACTGATGGAATTTTGAGGAAGGAAAAGGGAGGGAAGCTAGAAAGGAGCAAAGGGGGGGGTAGGGAGGGAGAGAGTAGAGTTATAGAAAACATGGAGAATTATGACTTAGACAAGTGCTAAGAAGGAAAAGTATGAAATAAAATAAAAATGGTAACAGCAACAATAATAACAATAGCAGCCGGCAACCTCTTACCCCTTTAATGCAGGAGTATGTACTAAGAGACTTGACTTCAGTTAGGGTCTTTGAAGCTGTAACTGGGATATGAAAGAAGAGAAAGAGTTAATTAGGTGAGAATGTTCATAGACATCTTCAAGCAGGAGGGACCAACTTACTAAATACAGTGGTACTTCAGTTTACAGAATACCTTTGTTTGCAAATGGAAGCTTTTGGCAAAATTTTGTTATTGTTTGCAAACTCTGCATCAGGTGAGAAAAATAACCATGGCCATCTTCCCCACACAAAACAAATGTGACCATCTCTTCCAAAATTGTAGAACAAACTGAGTTTATGAACTGAGTTGCTACGTATGTTGGTGGTGGTGATGTGAAGCAGACTAGAGAGACCTGAAAGAAGGCTAGTGAAGTACGCAGGTTTAGTTCAGTGACACAACTGCCTGCCTGGCAAGCACAAAGTTCTGCGTTCTATTCTTGGTACAAAAAAAAAAAAAAAAAAAAAAACAGCAAAAACGAAAAAAGAACGTTGATGCAGTAGAGTGAGAGAGAGAATACAGCTGTGTAATACTGTTTGTGATTACATTAACATTCACTAATTTCAGTGCTACATTTACAACCAAATTTTACTTTAACCTTGTAAGTTCAACTTAAAAACCTATAGTTCTGTTTATAAGCCTAGTATTTTCATAAAAATATCCTCCTTCACTTCCTCTTTAACTCTTAAGACCTGTTTTTCTTTACTTTTATGCTAAACACATTTAGAAACTTAATAAATTTGTCATATACACTTCAAATGCCTGAAAGAGCAATCTTGCAAATCTAGCAAGCAAAATGTTTCCAAGTTCTAACTAATGCATATTAATCTAGTTAGCCAAAATTATAAATCACATTCTGATAAGAATGGAAAACAAGTATAAACATAACAAAATAATCTTACCCTTTTCAGTAGTTTACTGATAGACATTTCAAATTAAAGTTATCATTTTAGAATTCTAATGTCTATGAAATTTCTCAAGTAATTTTTTATTATGACACATATGTAAGGAAAAATTTCAAGATGGTAGATAAGAAGCAGCCAGCACTCATTTGTTTCTGCATAAGTAGTGTTATGCCTTGTATCTAGATATCCCTTCAAAACCTCATGTGTTCATAGGTGAGGCTTTGCAGAGCTGGCTAGATCTAGGGTTTGTGATACTGGGATTAAGGATGTGTGGTACTAAATCAGTCTACCGATTGGTTTAGCATAACTCTGGGTGTGAACAATGGAAAGGCTCCACCTGGGTGTGGGTGGCACAATCAAAAAGGTGGGTAGCCTGGATGGAATAAAAAGGAAAAGCAAACTTGCTGCGACTGCTCCTGCTTCTGCTTACTGCTGGCTGCTTCCTGCCTGCTCTGCCATGGACTGTTTCTCGTGTGCAATGCTCCTCTGCCATTCTGCCCTCCCTGCTTCTGTGCTTGCAGACTATGGAGTGAAGCCTCTACAACCTGTGAGCTGAAATAAATCTTTCTTCTTTTAAATTTTGGGTGTTGGGTATAGTGTCTCATCAACAAGAAAGTAACTAAGATAAGTAGGAATCAAAATCACTAGAGGATAGCTTTCATTGAGGTTAGTGATTGGGAAAATGTTAAAGTCTAGTAGTGGACAAAAGTTTAGATAGCCACAGAATGTCAGGATATCTGAGAGAGTGAGAAGTAACATCCCAGTGCTGAGCATGTTGCAACTTATCAGAGAGTGGAGGTATTCGAGAAAGAGGCAGACACCTAGTAAACACAACTGACTCAGAAATTAGCACAGTGCAGAAGATCAATCAGTCTGAATATTGAGCAGATTTGGAATCGCCGAAGGAGGCTGGTCTAAGTAAGTTCTTGGCACTTCCAATGTATACTATGGTCCTATAAATGTGACCCATCTTGAGAAGGGAGCCTCTGAGTTTGCTGCTTTGGGAAACAATATCCTACTCTTTTTCCTTTCTCTGGGAACCCAGTACAATTTAGCTTCCAATAAAAATCATCCTAAAGGAGAAAATTCACAGATAATAACCTTTGCTACCTATCAGACTTGCTCTTGAGTGTGTTGATAATTTGCATGCTTTTATACATCTGTCCTTCATGAGGTCATTCCTACTAACTGTAGAGAATCCTGAATAAACTGACTAAATCATGTTCTTGGCATTTGTATTCGTTCAGCTGAATAACAAACCATTGCAAACATGTAGTAGCATAAAGCCACAGTTACTTATAGCATTCATAGCTCTGTGGTCATCTGTTTAGGTTAAACTAATCTGGCTATTTCTGCTGATTGGATCCAGTTTGGCTTACTTCAGTTGAGGTTCATGCATATACTTGCAGTTTGCTGCCAGGTTAACTGGAGAGAGGGTGATTGCCATGAGGCCATCTCCAGCATGGTAGCTCAGCTTGCTAACAAGATTTTAGGAACAATAAGAGGGTAAGACACAATCTATAAGCACATGTGAAGTCTCTGTAGAGGATAAGCTATGCTATAGATGCACTGACCAAAACAGTCAGAAGTTCAAACTATGGTTTGGATACTGTTTGGGTGTGCCCCTAAAAATTCATGTGTTTGAAGCTTGGTGCTCAGAGTAACAGTACTGAGATGGGGTCTTTAAGAGAGAATGAAATTACAATGGTACCACCTTCAACAGGAATTAATGTAGTTCTTACAAGACAAGGTTAATTCCTACAAAAGTGTGTTGCTATGTAGAAGTGAGCCTGATCCCATCCTCTCTTACTTCCTGCTCTCTCGCCATTTGATTGCTCACAGCCTTTACTGCATGCACTCCCGTCATGTGATACCATTCTTCATGTTGTGGAGCCAACCAGCCAGCTGATCTTGCACTTTCAGGCTCCAAAACTGTGGTGGATTGACAACTGGTGGTCAACTTATAACCTCCAGCTGAACTGAGTAAGTGTGGTTCTGGGTGTGCGAGGCCCACCTGAGGACTGTTGCCGGCAGCATAAGAGGCAGAACTGGAGAAGAGCAAGAGAGGCTGTTAGGAGCAGAGAAAAGCGGTTGGGAGCTGGTAGAAGCTGTAAGGAGCTGTTGTTTCTTTTGGAGGAGCTTGTTGTGCTGGCTTTCCTGATGAACTTGGCTGTTTTCATCCTCCAAGGAGCTCAGGACCTTGGTGTCACTGAGAATAGCTTTGGTTCACTTTGGGAGAGCTCTGTTCCTCACTCTGAGCATCGTTTCCTGGCTCTGGAGGGGAAGATGGTGCACTGCCAGTCTTCTGGAGAAGCTTGCTGTATTGGCTTTCTTGATGGGAACTCAACTGTCTTCACCATCAGAGGAGCTTCAGTCCTCACTGTTGTTGAGGATGGCTGTGGTACTTTTTAGGAGAGCTCTGGTTCTTACTTTGCACATCACTTCCTGGCTCCAGTGTAGATCCCTCAGCCTGTTAGCACAGATTATTCATCCTGCTGGCACAGACATTCTAGATTCCACCACTGATCTTTGGGCCTTCCCAGTACAGATCCGTGAAACAGCCCTGCATGAGATGTTGTTGTGGGCACTGGACCTCAAGCTGGATTCGTGGGAGTCATTGTTATGGGCTCTAAGTCTTCAGCTGGACTCATGCATGACATTATTGTGGGATCCAGGCCCTCAGCTAGATTCTTGCTCTATAGTATATGGACAGATTTCCTGCTCTCTTTTGTATATGATTCTTTGGGTGACTATTATAAATAATCTTATTTCTCATTTTATTCTAAGTAGTCGCTAACATACCAGCAGCTCAAGCTGACCACAGTAGTACACATCTGTGGTCCCATGCACCCTGAAGACCAATGGAAGAAGATCACTTGATCCCAAACTTTGAGACCAATGTGGGTAACATAGGACGACCCATCTTAAAATAAAAGACTAAATAAAAAAAATAAAAGAAATATCACACATTCTCTCATCCAAACAATTCTGTGATCTCATAGTCCCATCCTGTCAAATATAATTGAAGATGTCAATATGTAATACAACAAGCACTGTTAATTCTCTACCACTTTGTTTGTAACTCTGTATTGTCTGTACTGTTCTGTTGCTATTTTGTAAACAGTTGTCTGTCTGTTAATGTTTACCTCGTTTTATTTTTAAAATAAAAAAAAGAACTGTAACAATCTTCTTCAATTTCTTCCTGTCTTCTTTCAGTTCAGACTGGCAGCTTTCCTGCTGGAGCAGCTGATTACACCCATACTCATTTACTTAGCAACAGGATGCTTAGCCACACCCTTAATTTTCCTTTTTGAACATGCTCTCTCAGTTTTTACAATATTGATAAAGTGAGAATTTTTTGAATCTTTAATTTCTGCTTCCTTTTTTACTTAGCAATTCTTTATTTTTCTCTTCTTGCATTTAATTAGAAGCACTCAGGAGAAGCAAAAGTCACATGTTCAGTACTTTCCTTAGAAATAGCTTTAGCTAAGAATGAAATTTCATTGTTTGCAAGGTGTACTTCCTAAAAAACTCAAACATGAATACAATTCAGCCTCACGTGCCACTTTTTAATGAAGATTTCTTTCATTGAGTGTCCAGTCGCTTTTCTCATTTCCATCTAAGATCTCATCAAAATGACTTTAATTGTCCATATTTTTAATAACATTTTGTTTATAGTAAATTATTTTCTAATAACCCACTGAAAATGAAGCTCTAGAAGTTGTCATAAAATTCTTAGATTTGCAACTATGTCTTCTAAAATAGAGGCTTTCCTTACTTTTCTCTTTTCTTTCTGAGGCCAAACAGAATTGCTTTACAGTCTATTGATGTCAATGTGGCCTTTCTCTAGACTGCTGCTCCAAATTCTTTTGGCCTCTACCCATTACTCAATTTTAAGAGTACTTTCTAATTTTTAAGTATTCATTACATCAGCACCTCCACTTCTCAGTACTAATTCTGTCTTAGTCTATTTGGGCTGCTGCAACAAACTGCCTTAGACTTGATAGCCTTCTAAATTACAGAAATTTATTTCTTGCAATTCTAGAGACTACAGATCCCAAGAGTAAGATGCTGGCAGATTTGGTATCTAGTCAGGGCCTACATTCTGGTTCAGAGATGACTTTCTCACTGCATCCTCACATAACAAGGGATGAAGAAGCTATTTATCATGTGGAAGTTATCTACAAACACCTGTATAAGGACACTAATCTTATCCATGAGCCTTCCACCTTCATGGCCTAATCACATACCAGCTGCCCCATTTCCTCATATTTGGTACATTAGAAGTGAAGATTTCAACATATGCATAGGGAGAGGAATACACACATTCAGTCTCTATCATTTCCTCACTGAAATATTACAGAAATTTTACAGTCTAATTTTATCAGATTATTTGCATTGCCCAGCTTGCCATTTGCAGAGACACAATACTCAACATTTTAAAAGGGGGAAGATTTAACTAATCTCATAGTTTCCAGGGATTTAGTCCATGGTTGTCTGGCTCCAAGGCAGAAACATCATGATGGAAGTGTGTGGTAGAGCAAAGCTGCTTAGTTTGTGGAGGCTGCTTGGAAGAAAAGCAAGGAAACAGAGCCAGAGTACAAGGTGTGAGGCACCCGAGAGAGTACCCAAGGAACGCAAAGTACTCTATTTCCTTTACTGTCCCTGACATATCTAGAAATAATTTCTACAAAATCCTGTGGGCCTCCCAATTCAATCAAGTTGACAGAATCAAGTCAAACTGTCACACCCACAGTATGTGCATTATTGGTTGTTAATGACCCACCTAGAATGTCCTCTATCTGCCTTGTCTCCTGTTCTCCCCAGTCTCATCTTACCATACCTTCCTTAGCAGTAGTATCCATTCCATATGGATTAATTCAAAACATACTGTCTTTTACAAACTTCTCCCAGTTTTTCCTAGTCATGTCATCTTCCCATTCTTCATAATTTTGTTAGCTCTATAACTCTCCTCTAACCACAGTTCTTTGCACATATTTGTTGCTTCCCTAGACCAGTGCTTTTCAGAGTGTGTATCAGAATCACCTGGTGTTCTTGGCAGCTAGCGATTCAAATATCGGGGCTGTAAGCTTTCTGGAAACAAGTTCTGAAGACGAGCACTGAAAATCTGCATTTTCACAAATTTTCAAGTGCGTTCTTAAACTTGCCAAATCTCCAGAACATTTCCTCTAGGCTCAGACACACTCCAAAAGAATAACACCTCATCCTTCTACGAGTTCTTTCTTTCTCAATTCCTGTTGCTTAGAACATAGTAAACATTCAGTAAAAGTGTTATACATTAGTTTAATGTGGCTACAAAAAATTTTAGAAGACATAGCTGCAAATCTAAGAATTTTATGACAACTTCTAGAGCTTCATTTTCAGTGGATTTTACTCTACGAACAAACAAAAGTACCTGATAGTCTTAAAGATAACAAACTCCCTTCTCTCCACATGTGTGATCTGCTACTGAGTTTTCAGAAATATGTAATCGAATATAGAGCTTTCATTAGCATCTACTACACTAGGAAAAGCACTGTGTAGCAGTTCTTACTCAGAATGAGAATAATGTTCTTGCCCTTCATCCTTGCAGCTTTTGATATCTATACACTACATTTAATCATCTAGGCCGCTTAATCTACTGGCATTTCAGTGATCTCAAATCAGATTTCCTGCAGCACTGCTCCAAATAAGTAACTTTTTAAGATAGTGCAGGCTCTTATTAGTTGCAAATCATGCCACTGGTGCCATGTGCAGCTTCTATGCCTTCCTGGAAAATGATCTGATTTAAAGAATTTCCTTTCAATTTTGTCAGTAGGTGTAACTATGTAACCATTAGAGATTTTATATTCTAGCCAGAATAACATCAAGAAAGAGTGACCTAACAAATTGGTGGCTTCTTTCTCATCTTCAGTGCAGCATAGTTCAAATATTGCAAGAATATATAATGATATTCTTTTTCATATTTTAACCTATTACTTTTATCCATGCCATTATATTTGGCCCTCCAAACATCCTCATGAATCTAATACAGCTCTTATTATTTAATTGTATAGATGAAGAAGAAGCATTGCATACAAGCCCAAAACACAATGGAGTTCTTTAACTTTTTGGACTCCCACAATTTCAATATATATCCCTGAGGTCTAACTACTTACCAGTCTTCATCAACTCAAGACACCACTGATCTAGGGGCTGGGGATTTAGCTCAGCGGCAAAAGCGCCTGCCTGGCAAGTGCAAGGTCATGAGTTCGGTTCCCGGTACCGGAGAAAAACCCCAAAACAAAAAAGACACCACTGATCACATACTGCATATCTAAGGGCATTCCAATTTCATGTGGTACCTTTCAGAGACACTGAGATTGTACAGTACAGACACTATCTAGTTCGCATATATACAAAGTTAGGCCAGCCTAGACTCCCTATTGGAAAAGAATGGCAGAGTACAAGGTCCTTGTTAGTCAGGCACTAAGTGTACAACTTTACTTCCATTTCTGTGAAGGCAGCATGCATGAGACCTATGCAGGAATAGAAGAGTCCTTCTCAAGGGGATGATTCCCAATTGTTTAAAAAATTCACTGGAGATTACATGATTCCTCAAAACTCAAGAGACTTTACCTAATTGACAGCTTCTTAGGATTCAGTGTATGAATTATTCAAAAGCACCATTCTAAGCACAATGACTAGCACCAGATGGGTAGTATCAAGCCAAGCAGGGAGACTTCAAAATTGCCTTGGGAGCTTGTCATGTGTCTCCTAGAAGTTATATAACATAGAATCTGGTCCCTCATGACACAGGGAAGTCAAGGTGAAAGATAGGCTAATGTGGATGACTGAAGAAGCAGCTGGTATGGAGTTTGGTGAGCAAAAATATTTTCATATTCAACAATAAACACTGAAGAAGGTTGATGGTATAGTGCTGAATAGGTCGAACCTAAGACGTGGAACTTTCATAGCAGGGATATCTCAAAAGAAAGTATGTGTCAGTTATGCTGTCATGAGCAAGAAAACAGGAATAGGAGAAGTCAAAGGGCATCAGGTGAGAATATATACAGCCTATGATGGAGATGGTGCAATGGCATATCTTCATGCTGGGGTATCTCCAGAGAATGCATAAAAACACTTTAGAAAAGAGTCAGCGTTGGGGCTTGCATCACAGCTGGAGAATGCCAGTGTAAGAATAAGGCTGCTCCAGTCATATAAAGTGTTGCCTATTGCCTTTCATTATCTAGAGGACTCTAGCGAAGCCGGAAGTATCATAAGAGAAGGAAGAGGAGGCAGCTAGGACATTACAGGAATGGAGGAAGGAAACATTCTGCCCCGTCAGTGGACTCTATGATGTGCTGCCCAATTCTTCATTTGGCAATACTTTATTCCCCATCCTCTAACTGGTGCCAGTTAGCAGTCTGCAGTTATAATGCAGTATTAGTCAAACTTCTATGATCATCACCAAATTCCTGAAATAATGAACTTATAAAGAGAGAAGGTTTATTTTGGCTCAGAGTTCTAAAGGATACAGCACATGAGTGATTGCTTTGGACTTCAAATGAGGCAGCATAACAAGGCATTGTAGAAAACTATTAACATCACAAGCCAGAGGGCCAGGGATATAGCTCAGTGGCACAAGCGCCTGCCTGGTAAATGCAAGGTCCTGAGTTTGACTCCCGGAACCAAAAAAAAAAAAAAAAAAGGACAATAATATCACAAGGCAGAGAACAAAGGAAGAGGAAGAGGCTGTGGTCTCACAATCCCCTTTGGGAAGTTTACCAGTAACCAAAAGGCTTCCCTCTAAGCCCACCTCTTTAAGGTTTCACTATCTTCCAGTACTACTACCGTGCGGATAAAATCTTTAACACATAGACCTTTAGGGGATAGTCAAATTCCAAACTGTAATGAAGCTTCATATGGATATTTCCTCAGGTGAAAAATGCTCCCTTGCCTAAGGTCGTATTGCCTTTCAGGAAGCATGAGGTTCATCTGATGACTGGTGACTGCAAAGTAAAAAAGTCTGGCCACTTTGCTCAGCTCAGTACAACTCCAAAGGGCTAGCTCAGCTTCAGAGCTCTTCGTAGGGTTGGCCAAGACCTCAAGTAAGATGCATTGCCTCTTCAGTTACCTCTTCCCAGTCCCACCTCTCTCCTTTTCTTCCTATCCATTCCCAAGAATACTCACCAGTAAACCACCTCCTTGCAAACCCCCATCTCAGTGTCTACTTTTGGGATCAGAGTGTACAACAGTTCCACCTTCTGTATTGGATGCTTCAGAGACTAGGTTATGCCAGGAGCTGAAAAGAGATGGAAGTATTACATCAAAAGACCCAAGTTCTGGTTTTTGGCTGACTGAGATTTTTAACTTTAGTTTGAGATTGTTCATTTAAAAAGATAAGTGATTGCTGAGTGTGGTGGCACAGGCGTGTGATCACAGCATTTGGAAGGTTGAGGCAGAGGATCATAAGTTTGAAGCTAGCCTGGCCAACACAGTGAGATGAAAGCCAGTTTAAATTACAGAGAGAGAAAGAGAGAAAGAGAAAGAGAGAGAGAGACAGAGACAGAGACAGAAAGACAGAGAGGTAGGCAGAGAAGGATAGACAGAGTCAGAGACATAGAGACATAGAGAGACAGAGGAAAGGAAAGGAGAGGAGAGGAGAGGAGCAGGGAGAGGAGGGGAGTGATGGGGAGGGGAGGGACAGGGGAGGTGAAAGGGAAAGAGAAACAAAAAGGAGAAAGGGAAAGGGAAAAGGAAAAGGAAAAAAAAAGAAAAGAGAAACTAAAAATATAAGTGACTGACAAACAGAAGGAATCTGTTTGAGATTCTGTCCATGAGCAGGAAAGGAAATCTTAAGGAAAGAGCTTGAAAGTCACTATTGTGAGAAATGAAAATGCTTTCATGACTTCACCCCACTGAGTAAGGTTTGGTCAATAAACTAGTCAACTAGGTCACACCATGATTTTCGTGGTGTCTGAGGTCACACCACAATTTTCATGGTGTCTGAGGCTCATTCTTCTCCGACATTCAATTTTGGAGATGACTGCCTTTGCCTCCACTTCCTCTCTGTAGGAAGTCATGCAGCAATCCCAGCGGTGCTGCCAGAACTCCAAACATGCTTGTCACTCATCTGGATGAGCCTGCAGAAAGGCTTATTCCTTGGTTCATTTGTTTCTCCTCAATGGAGGCAGTGCCTCACTCTCTGAGCCCATTTTTCATTTCTGAACTATTTAAAAGTGACTCAACTGAATCTGCTGAATCGGGTAATCATTCTCAGTCTAATATGCATTTGAAAGTTAATAATAGTGTTCTCACTTCGACATGCATTTTACAATGAAGCTATAGGAAATATGTCCTTAGTTGGCTAGTTAATTATCTATTAAAGTAGGGATAATTCAAAACATATTTTGAACAATGGCAAGATCCTTCTGAAGAAATGAATGTTCTCATTGGAATATCTAAATTTAGAATGTATGTTTTCCAAGCCTCATCTTCTCTTAAACTGTACATTATATTAGTACCCAGTAGATAACTCAGGAAAGTTATGATCATGAGAGGTGATCCCCTGGTGCTATGCATGCCAGAGGAGGGATACTTAAAAAAATGTAACAGGGAAAGCATCCCACACTAGCTTCTGCCTTTGTTGTTTATGAAATTCCCAGAAATAGTCCTTTTGAACTTGGTATACTTATTACATTAGAACACATAAATTATTGTCCTAACCCCACCCTCAGCATAAATATTTGTATTACAAAATACAGAAAAATTTCTCAGAAAAGATGGCAGCTGTTCACTTCAGAAACTCATAAAATGGAATTGGGGCAGGAAATAACTTTCCATGCACTAACAAGAGTAGAGCTCAAGACCCCACAAAAGCAATGTCCTCAGACATTTTGAGCCAGAAGGAGTTTGGAAAATTGGATGTTTACACAATTGGTTGTTTTCACCCTTCTCCCCGCTAAAGATCTAGGAGATCTAAACAGAATCCATCTTATGACTGCCCTCAAATATCAGCCTAATACACAGAGAAGTTAAGAAATGAAAAGGTGTGCAGGGGCTGGGAATGTAGCTTGGTGGTAGCGTGCTTGCCTAGCATACACAAGGCCCTGAGTTCAATCCCAAGTACCACAAAAAGAAAAGAAAAGATGTACAGTCATGCACCTTTCTTTTGCGTACATGCAGTTTACAGTGCGATTAAACCCATAACTGAAGTTAAGAGCATGTATCTGCCAGAAAACAAATAAAAATGAAGCAAACTTTTAGCACCTCAGTTCTATTAGCCTTCTCATTGCTGAGACACAATACCCAACACCCACAATTTAAAGTAGGAAAGATTTAATTTAGATTACAAGTTGAGGAGAATTCTGCCCACGGTCAGCTAGTTCCAAGGCAGGAACATTACGGCAGAAGGACATGACAGAGCAAAGCTACTTAATTCATGACAGCCGGGGAACAGAGCAGGGGAGCAGTGCCAAAGAGAAAAGGACTAGAGACCAGATATAGTACTCAAGATCACCCCTCCATGATCCATGAAGACCTAGAAGCATGCTTTACTAATCTATTAGGTGTTTCTTAATCCAGTGAAGTTGACAAGTCAGGATTAATAGTCACATCCACCATAGTATGGAGCTTGGGATTTGACAAATCAGACATTGGGGAAAAAACAGTATGAATGCAGTATGTTCCCCTTTCTTCTACCTAGCAAACAGGAATCTCTTACAAAGCAATGATGTTTGGGCCAACACTGAGTTTTAATACTGCAACAACTAGAGGAGTGAATGAGACATGGAACATGCCATTAAAAAACATAAACTTCCAAGGGGAAGGGAGACACATCAATAACTACAGAACGGTGTAGTACATGGTCTAATGGCCTCATGATAGCAGTTATCACAATTATATTTAGTAAAGAATTAGTGGGGCAGTAGTGTAGACACAGCATTGACATCACCAGCTCGTAACCATGACTAATTCTATCTTGTGTCCATCCATTCCTATCTTAACATATCCCTAACTGAATCACTCCTGTACTCTGAAGGTGTTGAGATTCATCATTTGAATGTTTTTCAAAGAATACATAATATTATTTTTATATCTCCATGATGTATACAAAGCTTCTTGAGAGACCTCAAAGATGATCCTATATTAGCTGGATGTAAAAACATTTTAAACTATAGAAATAAATAACTTGTGATAAAGAAATGACAGGAGGCTAATATTTGTTTCTAACAAAAATGTGACACTGTTATGCCAACCCGCCTAGTCTCCCAGGGATTCTAAAAAGCAGCTAAGGTGTCAGAGTATGCCATTACCTCTTACTATTTCTGTCTCAAAGAAATGAATTCAGTATCTCAATTATATTCTTCCCTGTGGGGCAGGATAGCTAATGTATTATTTTATTTTTAAAAAGGAATTAAAATTAAAATGCTACCACTTTCATAATTTTGTCAATTTTTCATCAATAAAGATAAAAAATAAAATTTACACAATGTAAGATACATAAACACTCAACCTCCTTCAATTGTGATATTAAAGTTTGGAAGAAGATATCCTTTTGGAAAGATGTATCTAAATAACAAATTTATTTTATTGTATGATTGTAAAAGGAAATCACAATCTTAATCGAGAATTCATTTACTGATGTTTCCACAAAGTAATTCTTACTGGGCATTTCAACAGGAAGAGCTGGAGGGAATGGGATGTCCTGAACAATCCTGCAGTTAGTTGCACTTAAACCAGAGTGAACAATTTTAATACAAACTCTCTGGAGTATACATGATGGGCACTCCTTGAAAACTGAAGTAGTAGAATTTTATGTGATATGTAATGGCTGTAAAAAGCAAAACATGTGAGCCTTATTTCTAAGCCCCAGGATGGAATACAGACTCATGGAAGGAATATTCTCACATCTTCCTACACAATTCTAGTTCCCAGCTTGTGGAAGATGCGAACAGTGCCAACCTAGAAACTTCCCCAGCAACACAGCTGTCCTACAGCTCTCAGTACAGTTGTGAAAGCTACTTAGAAGCTTTTTCTAACCAGTATCTTTTCTTGGCAGTGTTGGGGATTGATCCTATGTCCTCACACACGCTGGATAAGGACTACTACTGAGCTACATCCCCAACCTTAATCAGAATCATGCTTAAGGCAATCCACGTATACAAAAGAGTGAATTATACAAGCAACGTAGGGAGTGTATCCTCCTTTATGATTTCAAAGAGTCTGTGTTCAATACAACAGATATTTAGCCTTGCAAAGTACACTTATGTAAAAATATTCACAGATTAGAGGCAGGCCAGTTTCACCCCCATCACAAGGTAGGAGTTTATAACACTAGTTAATCCACAGTCTCTTTTGGATCTGCTTTGGCAATTTTTATTTAGTGTCCTAAGCAGTTTGAGTGATCCTAGCTTTGACCCTTAAGGCTTGTTATGCAAGTAATAGTCTCATCTCACATCTTGGACCTAAAATTTGGTACTATTTTTTCAGATCTGAAGTCTCACTTTTCTCAAATATGATTTAGATATAACCTCGGATTCTGTCACTTCAGAAGTTCTAGATAACAACATGGTCATTATCACCTGAAACATCACTTGTGGAGCCCCACTAGTGGCAAGAAAAGTTGAGTGATAAGAATCAAGCAGGGCTGGGGATTTAGCTCAGCGGCACAGCGCCTGCCTGGCAAGAGTGAGGTTGTGAGTTCGATTCCCAGTACTGGAAAAAAAAAACAAAAAAAAGACAAAAAAAAAAAAGAAGAATCATGCATGCACACATGCAAACAAAATACATTTATATTCCCCACCTGTTCACGTTATGTTAAAGTATGGCTTTGTGTCACAGAGAAACTTTCTAGAAAGCAATTCTAAATCATTGTCCAAAGCCAAATTAGGCTGAACAAAAGTCACTGTGGTGGACTACTTCATTGATTCTCACTTTCTAATGAAATAAAATTTCAATAATAAGCAAGCTCCATTACTTGTGAAATGACTCATCTAATTGGTAGGTATGAGATGACCAAATTCTGTGCCTACTTCAGCAGCACATATACTAAAATTGTAGTTGATCAAGCTCAGATCTGGCCTTCTCTTGGCTTCTAGATGGTCTATGCTCATATAGAGGTTCTGCCCCTGGGAGATGGAAGGGAAGCTCTTTTGGCTTAAGTACTGCTATGGCTGAATGGATAAACCTGCCTACTTCTGGAGTTCTATATTCGCAAGCCTAGATCACAGCAGACTTGAGGGCACATCTTCTCAACCAGGCCCTAAACGTAATAATGATTATCTTTTAAAATTAAGTTTATTGGTACAATTTAGCATAATGGCAAATTTACCATAATGATCACTTTCATCATAGTGAATTTGTACCTGTACATGATATATTTTTGTTCTTCTTTTTTTCCCATCCCTCTCCTCTCTCTTCAACTCCTCTCCGCATGCTATATGTCCTTTTTGCCAATGTTCTGAAATGGGTAAAGAAGAAAAGTGTCCCTTAGCAACTTCAATAAAAATTATTGCATAAGACTAAGGACTTTGCCTGTCTTTACTGTTATATGTGACTAGCGCAATATCTTAGTTACCAGATTTCCTTGCCAGTAAAATGTGAGGGAAAAGATACTAAGAGGCTTCTGAGACAGATATCTTCACCCTTAAAAAGAGACACAGATCAGGGCACAGTGGTTGGTTTTTTGGTTTTTGGTTTTTTTTTGGTCTTTTTGAGACATATGCAGTTCAGGCTGGTCTTCAACTCACTTTGTAGCTCAGGCTGGCCTCGAACTCGCAGTGATCCTCCTGCCTCAGCTTCCTGAGTGCTGGGATTACAGGCCTGTGCCACCACACCCAGGTAGGGCACAGTGGTGAAGGCCTGCAATCCCAGCACATGGCAAGCTAAGACAGGAGGATCACTGCAAGTCCCAGGCTAGCCTGGGTCACAAAGGGAACTCAAGGCCAACCTGAACTGCATAGTAAGACTCTGTCTCAAAAAAAAAGAAAGACTCAGGCCTTGTGAGGTGCCTTGAGAGTATAGTATTGTTGAAGCCGTGGAAGCAACTTTTTCAAGATAAAAGGATAAGCCTGGGGTAAAGATGGCAAAATGAATAAGTGAAAAGAATATGAGTCCTAGTTAGTATTGCTACAAAGCTACTATCACCAATTGTGTAACCACCTGGCCTCTGGACTATGTGCAATACATAGTAATAAATCACATTAAACAATAAATCAGTTTGAATTGAGCCCTATGTTGTTGAGTTGAAAACCCTTCAACTGAAAAAGCAGAGAACAATTACTGCTTGTGATAGTTAATTTTGATTGCTAACTGGATTGAATTGAGATATGCCTAGGAGATAAGTAACGACATTTGTGGGTGTCCCTGGGTATAATTCTGTCTTACTTTTCTCCTTGCTAAGACAAAATATCTGACACCCACAAGTGAAAGGAGGAAAGGTTTATTTCAGCTCACTGAAACAAAGGTTTCAGTCCATAGTTAGCTGGCTCTGAGGCAGGGCAGCATACCAGAGGGGTATCACAAAGGAGAAATGGTTCATGATGTGGCAGGTAGAAGGCAGCAAGCAGCAGAAACCTGCCTTCTACCTTTTATCTCATCCAGGCTACAAGTATTTTGGGTGGTGCCACCCACACCCAGGGTGGGGCTGCTGTCTTCAGTAAATCCATTCAGTCATACCCAGAACTATGCTAATTCCAATCAGGGAACTAATTTAGTATCACAGACCCATAATCTAATGCTGGTAGTCAGAGAAAGCTTCACTGAGAAGTGACATTTGACTTGAAATCTCTGTCATGAGAAGGATTCTCTCCACCTATAAAGACAAAGGAAGTAGGTGCCATAGAGAAAGAACACCAAGTTAAAAGACCTCAGGGGAAGAGTAACATTAACATATTTAACCAAGAGAAAGTTAGAGTGCCTGAAGCAGAGCAAATGTGAGGAGGAGGAGGAGATATGACTGGCAATGTAGGCAGAGGCCTGATCATGGAATGTCCTATAGGCCATAAAATGGACAGTGGATGCTCCTCTGGTTGCTAATGGGATGTGCTTCAAGAAATTTAAGCAGAAGAATGATTGGTATTATTTAAAATGTTTTAAAAGATTGTGCTGGTTGATTTTATATGTAACACTGACTGGGTATAGGGATGCCCAAATAGCTGGTAAAACATTGTTCTGGATATCTCTGTAACAGTCTTCCCAAAAGACATAATATCTCTATTGTCAGTATGAGTAAAGATCAAGCAGTCATTAACCAATCCATTAAATTCCAGAATAGAATAGAAGGGGAAGGAAGGATGAATTTCTTCTCTTTTGTTGCAGTTGGAGAGTCATCTTCTCTTCCCTAGAACAGTGAAGGTGACACTTTTAGAGAACAAGTGCCAAACTGCAACCCAAAACACACTTGTTTATTGCAAAGTGCCAACACTGCAGTTAAATCTGAATACTGAGGTTTTAGTATAGAAAAAACAACTTACTATCTTTTGTCTTAAAAGAAAAACACAAGAACACATGTGCCATAGGTTCACCACCACTGCCCTAGAACTTAAAGCTGTCAGTTCCCAGATGTGATGACTTAGACCCAAAGTAAGTATCAGATCATCAACTTGCTCTGCTCTAATGAATTTTTGAACAGGAATGAAATACATCTCTGGATTTCCTCATTTTCCAGCTTGCAGATGGGCAAATTGTGGGACTTTTTGGCTCCCATAACCACCAATTTCCAAATAAATCTAAAATACACACACACACACAACTGAGTCATTCTGTTTCTCTGCAGAGCTCTTACTAATGCTGCATTATCATAGGTTTAGTCAGGACTATTAGGAAAAATTCCATACCTACTTCAAGGTTACTTCCTCTTTGAAGTCAGTCTCATGAATCCTGTCCTCAACAACTACTGACTTCGCTGAACCTCTCTATCACTTGATACTTGGTACTTATATCACTATTTGGGCCCTTGGCATTTCCATGTCTCACTTCATATACTGTTATGGTTTGTGTCTAGATGTGCCACTATGGGGGTCATAGAGTTTTTTCACAGGTGGCTAAATATAGAGTGTGTGATCAATTGATGGTGCAATGCTGGGATTAAGGTGCTAGGATTAAGGGTGGGTGATTGCTTGATCAGTCCACTACTTGGATTGTTACCAGTTTAATCCCGGGAGCCCGGATAGAGGATAAAAGGACAGAAAGACACTGTTAAGGTTTGGTTGTTGATTTTGCTGTCTTCTGCTGCCATGAGCTATTGCCCCTGTGCCATGTGTAACCCTACCTTGGAGCCAGCCAATTATGGACTGAAACATTTACAATTGTCAGCTAAATAAACCTTTCCTCCCTTAATTTTGGGCATTGAGTATTTGGTCTCAAAAACGAGAGAAAAGTAACTAAGACATACGCACATCTTCTCCTTCCAAAGAACTGCACTTTCCTAACACTCAGTGGCCCATATGCCATACTCCATTGTATGCCTGCCTATACCACTGGGTTAATGTATATTTATTTTTGATGATTGTACCAATGGACACAAACTAATATGTATGTATAATATTTGTTAATGATAATACTGATGACCTAATTTGCTTATGAGTTATTTTACTGGCAAATAATAACTTCATTTTGCCATATCTAAAAATATCAGCATGTGACACCAAAATTAAAACATATGATATCTCCTATGCAAATTAACATAATGGGAGGCAAGCAACAGAATGTGGATTCTGTGTATGAATACTGCAAATGTTTTATTAAAGAAGACTGAAGAAATTTTCATGGAAATTGTTCTAATTTGGGACTTACTGGGTACGCCAATATTTTATTTTTGAACATATCACTTCTCCCAAAATCTCTACCATTAAAATTAAACCTTAATTTCAAAATAGGTTGTGTTGCTTTTAAGAAGTGAAAAAACGGCATCGTGTAACAAGGTGCATCCTCAGCGTACCCTCCACTGTGCTGTGTCATCCTCAAACTGCCCATGAATAGATGGGGGAATAAGCTAAAACCAGAAAAAGGAGCAACTCCTCCATCTTCGTCACTTGCCAATGTCAGACATACAGAAAATGAGCACAGTAAACTGAACCCTTACAAGAAGTAATGTAATCTGAAAGCTTTACAGTCTTTCATAGCAAAGACAGACGTTGCCAAGAAATACATGACTCAGCAATGGGCCTTCTTCTTATTGTTGCTAAGTCTAAATTGAAATGATATGACAGCTAAGAATGAAGGAAAGCACACTGTTGATGAAGCGATCCATCAAAACACATCAGGTGTAACTCACAAATTAACATGTAAGAAAATATCTGGTGTCATGGTTTGTATCTGGATGTCCTCCCAAAGCCTCATGCAGTCATGGGGCAGGCTTCTAGAGTTTATGATTGATTCATGGTCCAAGGCTGGGATTATGAGTTGTTATGGTTGAAACATTGTGTCAACTTGGTGAGTCTAGAGGTTTGGCTAAGTGACTCAGCAGGAAGCCAGGATACTTACTTTGTATACATCCTGAGCCTGTGAAAGAGGAGGGCAAAGATTATGTGAGAGCTACACGCCCCTTAGGTGGGGGTAGCCTGTTTACAAAGTAAAGCAGAGAAAGAAGCTGCTTGCTGCCATTCCTCCAGTTTGCT